AAAGTGTTTGGGCTTAACTTCTAGCTGTTTTAATTATCTTTTCAAAATAGCAAAGTTCTTTATAACCAGACGTAAGATACTAGAGGTATGTGAAAAAAAAAAGCGCTACCTCTGAAAAAAGCTTAAAAAAAAAAATACCAGTTTTCAAAAATTCTTAAAAAAAAAGTTCTGCCATAGAAAAAAAAAAATATCATCAAACCATTTCTAAGCCCCAAATCTTTAAGAAAAAGTTCGTTTTGTTCCTTGAGGAAAAATCGTGTTGACTAGTGTTATTCGTTAACCTAAAATCTATCCTTAGTCGCGGGTGCATGCCTAATAATTGTGTAAGCACACAACTTATTTAATTGGTTTTGTGCTTCGGTTGGTTGTATGTTTGTGTTTTTGCTTTTTGTAAGTACGCCCTCTCATTACATTTAGCCACTCTTTGTTGTAGCTATTGCCGTCTAACACTCCGCACCCAGCTCCTTAACTATCCCATCAGTTTGGCTCCCACCAGATATAGACGTCCCGGACCACCGGATATTGTCATCATTGGGTGGTAGAAGTCCACCCAAAGCGGCAAGTTTTTGTATCACGGCTTGGCATTACCTTACATCTAACGATGTAACTGCTGTTATTCAAAGCAAAATAAAAGCCGATGGATTAAAGGTCGAGAAGTTTAATTTCTCTTATGTCAGGGAGATAGCTTTCTTTAAAATAAGCGTCTGCCCAACTAAGTTTGAAACCATTTGCTCTTCCAAATTTTGGCCGGAGCACTTGGCTGTGAAAAAGTACAAGGCTAAGAAGGCTCTTCCCAGTAGTCAGACCAGTGTTTCATCTCCACCCTCATCTTCCCGCTCTACTTCACCCCATCCAAAAAACTAACTTCCTCCCTTTTAATTACCTACCAGAATGCTAGAGACTTGCGTAGTAAGCTCAGCACTCTTTTTCTGGAGAGTCTCGCATTCTCGTCGCACGTCATTGTGTTTACCGAGTCATGATTAAAGCCTGACATCCCTAGTTTTGAAGTTTTGGCAGGTCGGTATACAATCTTTAGAAATGACCGTTCGTCTCGACTTGGAGGAGGGCTTTGCAGTGGACTCAAACTTCACATCAGAACATTTCATAGTCCAGGTTCAACAAGACCTGGAATTCTTGTGCGTAAAACTGATTCACCCAGGCTTTTCCATTTTCATTACTTGCCCGTATATTTCACCTTCCTCGGATATCTTAATATACGAGCACCACTAGTCCGCTTTAAAAATTGTTTCTTCCTCGCTATCAGATAAAGGCCATATGATGCCAGGTACTGTTTGGTCTTCGGTAAACGAATCTAATAATCTTGTGCCCATTATCGACGGCTTGCTAGACCTATCCCTGTCTCAAGTCAACCATGTGAAAAATTCCTTGGGATGATTGCTTGATCTGTGCTTTGTCTCGGATCCGACCATAGCGTTGCTAACACGAGCTCTTCCGCTCACTATACCAGAAGACTCCTACTTTCCTACATTCGAAGTGTTGGTTGTAAGATACCTATTTCAGGCTGGGATATGCATCAGCCTGTCCAGGGTCCCCTACAAGAAATTTGTAGATCTGCTGGAACTTAAGGTTTCGGGGCTGGCCTGGAAGTGACCGAAAGAGCAGTAAGCAAGGTGGGAAAATTGATGACGCGATGTCTTCTGTTGTTTTGGTTATTATTAATGCCTTTATTCGTTTTACTTGTTTACAATTCGAGACCTGCTGGTCTTGCTAGTTTTGCTGTGGGCTGGTGGACTGCCTAGTGCAGTGTCTTGCGTTTGTGACTGCCTAGTGCAGTGTCTTGTGTTCGGGCTGATGGACTGCCTAGTGCAGTGTCTTGGGTTTGTGACTGCATAGTGCAGCCTCTTGGGTTCGGGCTGATGGACTGCCTACTTCTTCGGCCTATCTTGGCCCTTTTATGCAGCTGGCGATCGCACCTGAGACCGTGAGTTTCCGTGGTGACTGACAATAATTGTTGGGCGTGGTAAGTGGGTCGAAGCTTGGTGCTTCGTTGACAATTGTTAGAGGGTCAGTGGGGTTGAGGACGTGTTTTGCTGAGACTGCAGATTGGGATTGGGTTTTGTTAACTCCGCATCCCGAAAGGTGTTAGCTGAATTTGGGTCGATAATTTGAGGCCAAGTGGTTGCGAAATAATGCAAGAGGTGGGTTGTTTTAAATTGATGTGTGGACAAGAATGGGTGGAGTTGTTGATCGAGAGTTCTTAATTTTAGTAATTGCGTGCGTTGCTTAAGACTATTTTATTTCCCGGAGGTGCTGACACGCCGCTATTTGTGGCTAGAGCCATGGTACGTTGGCTCTGTGTATATCAGTTTGAGTATTCTTCCCGACCGGCGTGGATTCGCTGACACTTCGCTGTTTGTGACGAGCCATGGCTAAAACCATGGTTCCTTACATGGTCGATATTGGGCCTACTGTGTTGGATCGAATGGGTAGGCTGTCTGTCCGCTGCTTTCTTAAAAGCCGAGTTTACAAAACTTAATAACCTCATTAGGGATTTTGATTAGTCCGCTCTGTGCTTGTGCACTGACGTTATAAAAGTCACAACAATTTTTTACAATGTACTTGACACATTTTTTGATTCTTGTGTCCCACTTTCTTTACGGTTAGATTTGGGAAGCCTCCTTGGTTTACCAAAGAGTTATCCAGTGTAAAAAACTTAAAATCAAGACTTTATAAAAAATATCTAGAAGTTGGTTCTCCATCTTCCCTCTATCGCTATGTAATAGCTCGGTCAAATTTCTCCGTTATTAACGCTCAATGTTATAAAAGTTACCTATCTCGATGCAGGATACGATTTTCACAGGCAATTGGCGATCTTTTTGTCAAATTTTTCCAAACAACCTATTCTCATGAAAGCTACTCTGGTCAGCCGTATCCATACCAAGATCAGACGGCATTTTCAGCGCCTTGTTAAATGAAAGCTCACTGCTTCATGATCTTGGACTAGTTAAGGTGGTGTTTTCATCAGGTCCTGAAGGAGTTCCCAGCTCAGGTACCTCAGGTACTGTGCCGACCCTCGTGTGGACCCCTGCTTAAACTATTCACCTTATCCATTAATTCCTTATGCTTTCCCCTATTTGGAAGGAATCTTTTATTATTCCTCTCCATAAGAAAGGAAGAAAGTTTGATGCAAATAATTAAAGAGGTATATCTAAGTTATCCGCTATTCCTAAAAAATGTTTAAAAAAGTTTAATTCCGCCCTTGCAACATCTCTACAAATTACTTTTATCTTCAGCTCAGCAGGGATTTATAAGGCGACGATTAACAACCACAAATTTGTTAGAGTTTACCTCTTTTATCATTAAAAGTTTCCAAGGTAACTTGCAGACGGATGTTATTTACACTGATTTCAGTAAAGCATTCGATTCTGTAGCCATTCCCTTCTAGCACAAAGACTTGACCTTTTAGGGTTTCCGCATAATCTTTTGAGATGGATTTCTAGCTATCTTCGTTCTACTTCTCGAAGAATCCTCTTCAAAAAATGTCTTATCTGTTCACCTGTTAAGGTTACTTCTGGAGTACCACAGGGCAGCCATCTAGGCCCCCTACTTTTCACACTCTTTATTAATGACCTGCCATCAGTATTAACCAACTCTCGAGTAACTCATGTATGCGGATAATGTTAAACTCTGTGTCCAGAATAAAACATTTCATTTCACTCTAGCTTTAAATCCGATTTCAATAACTTTCAGTCATGGTGTTGTGCAAATATGTTACACCTAAATGCCTCGAAATGCAAAGTAATGACATTTCATCGCTCCAGCGCCTTTTTGGCTCCTTACAGTTTCTGCGGTCGTTCTCTTAAGAGAATTACCTTGGTTGATGATCTTGGTGTTAAATTAGACCCCAAGATAAAGTTTTCTGAACACATATCTACCATGGTAAATAAGGCCATGGGCGTACTTGGGTCTATAAAGAGGTGGTCAAAGGAATTTGGGACCCCCTATACATATTACGAAGACTCTCTATATCTCGCCTCTTCGTCCGATTTTAGAGTACGGCTCTTGTGGATGGTGCCCCCAGTACAAAGTACACCGGGACCGTATAGAATCGTTCAGAAAAACGTTTTGCTTTTTGCTCTAGATTGTGAGACTGCTATCTTAGCCTCGTAGATTTCTTTTAATAAACCTTCGAACCTTAGTTAGTCGTAGAAATATGCTTGGTGAGATTTTTATGCAGAACCTGATCAAGGGTAACGTAGATAGCCCTGACTTGTTGAGCCGCATAAACTTTACGATTCCCATTAGATCTACTAGTAAAATTATTCCTTGGTTCCTTACACTTTGTAGATCAAATTATTTCTTTCATGAACCGTTTAGGGTCTTATGCTCGAACTTTAATTCGCACTACCTTATAATATCCACCACTAATTCCTTTCCTCTTCTTAAATCACTAATACCTTTTATTTTTTTTATTAACGGTATTTTATTTATCGAATCTTCGTGGACCAGAGCTTTCTTTTGTTTTGAGATTTGGTCTTTAATGACCCTTGTGACTTCTCCTGATTGGAATATAATAGGCGAAGTAGCTTCGGGATTGTTGGTTGGTGGGAGCACAAAGCTATTTGTTGCTGGGTGTGGTTTGAAGTCGTTTTCTAGATGAACGGCAAATGTATTTGCCTTCTCTTTGTTGCTGCGAGCCCACTCTCCTGTTTGTGTACGCAAAGGTGATTCACTCTCGATTGGTGGGCATACTCCTGATTTTGCTTTCCACAGTGGGAATCGTTTGCTAGTTGGGGAGAGTTGCTTCATATAGGATATTTGAGCTCGGTTTTTTTAATCTTCTTGGGCTCTGCGTAGTAGGTGGTTGGTTATTTTTAGCCGCTCTTTCGAGGCAGGTGATCTGTGTGCTTGCCACTCTCGGCGAAGCCTTCTTTTATCGCATAGCAGCACTTCAATGTGCCTAGAAATACGACTGCTGTTGGAAAGTTTTGCCGCCAGTTACATTGAGTGTTGTGTTTGGGTATGGAGAAAACGTTGTGTTCAGGGTGAGAACTAAAATCGAACTGACTTTATTACTCTCTCAAGCGCTCTCTGAGCATACATACATTCGGGTGAGGTAGTGTTAGTGTGTATGTGAATACATTTCAATGGATGGTGAAATAATACTTATGTTGCTAACATATAACACATCTCTCCCCTTAAATTACGGTTTGTTAATGATTTTTACGTTTCCTCTAAGGCTAAGGTGAGTAGCGGCTGGGGACTCTGCGTTGGCGAGTGCTGCTACGGATGGGGATACCCGAACGTCGTTGTTGGGGTTGTTGTAGAACGTTTTGTGTAGATGCTGCAGGCACTTCGTTGGAGCCAGCAATAGATTGAGAATTCTGTACTGGATCGGATGACGGTTCTTCTTCTTGGGTTAGTGTCGTCGGAGTTGCGGGCGAACTTGAGACTTCAGGAGCCCACCAAAACTTATTGTTGTCCTCGTTGTAGCTGGAGCTGCAGTTATCAGGGTCAGATCTTGGCTTTATCTGGTTTATGTGGCGCTTGATGAAACCTGTGGATGAACGAAGGATAAATAACATACGACCTATAGGCCGATCGATGATAGCTTTTATCCACTTTTCTCCCCTTGCATAGTTTCTGGCAAAAACTTTCTGATTAGGAGAATACTTTGTTTGCTGCGTCTGCTTGCTTTCAGATCTCTTCTCGAAGAGTTGACTTAAGATCGTTCGAACCGGACGACCATGAAGAAGTTCTACAGGTGTTTTTCCTTCAGAGTTAGGTGTGAAACGATACGTGCTGAGGTACTTTGTTACGGCTGTGTTGACTCGATATCCATCCTTTATATTTTTGCTGACGGACGTTTTGAATGTTTGGACGAAGCGCTCAGCAAGTCCATTTGATGCTGGATGAAATGGGGCGGTTGTGATGTGGCTTATTCCATGTAGCTGACAGAACTGATTAAACGAGTCGGATGTAAGTTGAGGCCCGTTATCACTGACTAAAGTTTTAGGATAACCCTCAATGGCAAAAATGGCTGTAAGTGCGGCTATAGTGTTTTCTGTTGTTGTCGCTGTCATTTGTACTACGAACGGAAACTGAGAATGTGCATCGACGCAAATTAACCACATGGAGTCAAATATTGGACCGGCAAAGTCGATGTGTATTCTTTCCCAGGCGGATGTCGTTTTTGGCCAGCTCTGGAATTCCTTTACTGGTGCTGGATTGCCTATCTTGCAAACGCTACAATCCTTTGCAATTGTTGCGATATCATCGTCGATACCTGGCCACCACACGTGTTGTCGTGCCAGTTGTTTCATGCGTACTATTCCCCAATGACCCTCGTGGAGGATATTTACAATCTTATTCCGTAGTGTTTGAGGAATGATGATTCTATTTACGTCAGAATGGAGACATAGTAGCTTGTTGTTAATCGTCAGGGCGAATCTACGATTATAATATGGCAACATTTCGAGATCCTGCTGTTGTTCTGGCCAACCAGTAGATACGAATTGATAGACCTTTTTTAGAGTACGGTCGTTTTGAAGATGTTGCAAGATTATGTCGGCATTTATTGGACATGACATCTCGACGACATTGTAGCATGCCTCTTCTGTGTCGAACTTTTCATCCGAGCTGATAGGAAGACGTGAGAGTGCGTCTGCATTTCCATGAGCTGTGGTGCTGCGATACCTTATTTGAAAGTTGTATGCCATCAAGATTATAGCCCAACGTTGAAGCCTGTTCGAAGTCATCGTAAGCAGATGCTTGCTTGGGTTGAATATCGTGACCAATGGCTTGTGATCCGTAATGAGAATAAACTTTCTGCTGTAAAGGTACTGATGGAATTTCTTTACCCCAAATACAATCGAAAGTGCTTCCTTTTCTATTTGGCTGTATCGAACCTGGTGGACATCTAAGGTTTTAGATGCAAATGCTATTGGTCTTTCCTTACCATCTGCTTGAGTGTGTGACAAGACCGCACCAATGCCATATGAAGATGCATCGGTGGCTAGAACAAGCGGTAGATGCTCGTTGAAATGTGCTAGTTCTGTAGCGTTTAGAATGTGTGCTTTTAAAGCTGTAAAAGCCTGCTGCTGACTCCGACCGAATTTGAAGACTACGTTCTTCCTTCGAAGCTGATTGAGCGAAGACGCTAGCTGAGAAAAATTGGGGATGAAATTGCAGTAGTAGTTAACTTTTCCCATGAAAGCATCCAGCTGCTGTAGATTAATGGGGGGTTTCAATTGCTTGACAGCTTCTAGTCCCGAGGTATCCGGAAGGATGCCCTTGATGCTTACTCTTCTTCCGAGATACTCAATTTCGTCTCTCAAGAAGAAACACTTCTCCCTCTTACATTTAATGCCATTCTCTCGTAGAATGCGTAAAACTTGTTCGAGGCGGGCAAGGTGCTGCTCAACTGTTGGAGCTGAGATTATTATGTCGTCTAGGTAATTTCCACAACCTTCTATGCCACTCAGAAGTTGTTCAAGATGACGCTGGAATATAGCTGGAGCGCTCGCTATTCCATATGGTAAACGTTGGTATTGGAAGAGACCCATTGGCGTGCTGACGACCATAAGTTATTTTGCCGCATCATCTAACTCCATTTGAAGATATGCGTCTTTCAAGTCGATTTTGGAGAAATGGGTGCCGTGACGGATCGTATGTAATAAAGAATCACGTGTTGGCAGTGGATATTGCTCGATGTCCAATTGTGAATTGACACCTTGTTTGAAGTCGCCACAGATCCGTAGTGCTCCACCTGGCTTGGGTGCTAGTACTATTGGTGATGCCCAGTTGCTGAATTTGACTGCTTTCCAAATACCGGCATCTGTGAGACGCTTAACTTCCTCCTTGAACTTTTCCATTTGAGCAAATGGAATTGGTCTGCTTTGGTAGAATTTCGGCACGAAATTTTGCTTTAAGTAGATGCTTGCCTTAAAGTTTTTTATTGTACCGATAGCCGATTCAAATACTTCTTTGTACTTGTTACAAAGATCAGTCATTTGAGAACCCTGCACTTGACTCACATTTGAAATTTGTTGAATTTCGAAATTGAATGTCTGAAACAAATCCATTCCGAACAGATTGTTTGAGTTTTCTACATTTGTCACGATTATGACAACATTTGCCAATTTATTGCCACACTTTGCCACAGTGTGCAATTCACCCAGCACGGGGATTTGTTGTTGGCCAAACGCATGCAAAATGCGATCACACTTCCGCAGCTTTGGACTTTTGAGTTGTTTGTAAGTTTTCAAATTCATAACAGACACAGTTGCGCCAGAATCCATTTGGAAAGAAATGATTTCGTTGAAGATTTGCAGGTCGATTAAATTTTTATTTCCATCCAACTGCACCAGGTTTGACACGATGTGAATTGTTTGAACTGATTCTGCATGTTTTGCTTTGTTTTGGTATTTTTGGTGAGCATTCTCTTTCCAGGTTTTTTCTTTCATATCTTTGCACTGCTTTGACATGCAAACGATAGCTATGTGTCCCTTTCTTCCACATTTATGGCAAGTAGCCTCGCGAAATTTACAATTTTCACGAGTGTGCGTGTTTCCACAACCGGAGCAAGATTTGAGAGTGTTCTTGCCTTCTTTTGTTTCCATACCACTTCGTTTCTGTTGATGTTGCTTATGTGTGTATACAGCGTTCATGTCCAGTGCTTTGTTCTCTCTCTCCTTTATGACCGCGACTGTTTTCGTTGTTGCCTCGTACGTTTCGGCAATTGCGAGTACGTCAGCGAGGGAAGGCTGAAGCTTTTGCAAAGCGGCTGTGCGTATGGCTTCGAATGGCTTGTGTACAATTATTTGATCGCGTATCATTTCGTCAACATAATTGTATGTACACCCATTGGTGTTGCAAGCAAACTGACACTCACGAGCTATACCACGTAGATCAGCTACCCATTCCTTATGTGATTGTGAGTCCCGCATCTGACGTTTAAAAAATTCATATCGAGCAGCAACAATGTGACGCTTCTGTTTGAAGTGCTCCGATAACACTAGTCAACACGATTTTTCCTCAAGGAACAAAACGAACTTTTTCTTAAAGATTTGGGGCTTAGAAATGGTTTGATGATATTTTTTTTTTTCTATGGCAGAACTTTTTATACCCGTACTCAAAAAAGAGTTAAGGGGTATATTAGATTTGTGGTAAAAGTGGATGTGTGTAACGCAGAGAAGGAAACGTTTCCGACACCATAAAGTATATATATTCTTGATCAGCATCAATAGCCGAGTCGATATAGCCATGTCTGTCTGTCCGTCCGTCCGTCTGTCCGTCTGTCCGTCTTGTTGAGCGCCTGGATCTCAGAGACTATAAGAGTTAGGGTAACCAAATTTGGTTTCCAGACTCATGTGATATCACACTGCTACAAGTGTATTTCAAAATTTCGCCAACTGGGATTTTTTTTTTTAAGCTTTTTTCAGAGGTAGCGCTTGTTTTTTTCACATAGCTCTAGTATATTACGTCTGGTTGTAAAGAACTTTGCTATTTTGAAAAGGTAATTAAAACAGCTGGTCCAAATGTTCGCTACCAAACAGATTTTTTACAAGTTCAAAAACTTTTGAGCCTTCCCACGATAGAAGATATATATTTTTGTTTCTCGACGGAGGTAGCGGAATACGCGGCGAAATGCTGCGAAATTTGTTGTAAATACGTCTCCCAATTTTGTTGATCCTTATTAAAACTTGGGAACGGCGAACAAGCTGTTAATTCTGCTGATCTATTAACACCATTGTTTTGTGCGAGCATGGCTTCCATCCATTGTTGTTGCTGTTGCATTAACTTTTCTGTGAATTGTTGCTGTTGAGTTTCTATCCATTGTTGTTGTTTTATCCTCGTCGCCAAAATGTTGTGTTTCGGTATGGAGAAAACGTTGTGTTCAGGGTAAGATCTAAAATCGAACTGACTTTATTACTCTCTCAAGCGCTCTCTGAGCATACATACATTCGGGTGAGGTAGTGTTAGTGTGTATGTGAATACATTTCAATGGATGGTGAAATAATACTTATGTTGCTAACATATAACATTGAGGATACTAATGTTTCGACTGACCTATCAATATCATCTTTACAATAAATGTTTGGGCAGCTATCAATATGCGGCAGTATACTGCAGCTAGGTTTAGGTAGCCGCTCTGAATTTCAATATGAATTGATGTTGCCTGTAGATAAGGTGTAGCAAATGAAGGCAATGGATAATGCCTGATGTGATTCTTGATCCGAACGCCAGTACCTCCATGTGCCTTACCATCGGGACGATTTGTCGCATAGAAGTTATAGCCATCGAGGTGAAAATAGTTTTTATTTGTTAGGTGAGTCTTTGATATGAGCATGGCGTCAATGTCGTGTTGAGCGAGGAACTGTAAGAGCTCGCATTTGTGCTGAGAAATGCCATTTGCATTCCAGAAACATATATTTAGACAGGACATTTAAACAGATTTCTGTTTGATTAGGAGCTCCAGGAGGAGATTTTGGTTGCGCATAAGCTCCTGCATTGTTTGTTGTATTGCTACCATTGTATTTGTTATAGTTACCAGCATTGACTCAATTCCACTAGGCAATTGGGATGGATTAGCAGGGGTATGTTGGGCAGAGATTTCTGGGATCTGATTTGATGCCTGATTCTGCATTATTCCAGCTTTGGTTGGTTGAAGTGTCGGCTTAGAGACTGAGGCGTACGACCCGTTGTTGTAACTTAACGCCTGAGCAAAAGAAACTCCTGGAGTCGTAGTTGATGGTATATATGTTAAGTTTTGTCGGACGACCGGGTTTCGAGCTGCAGTTATTTGTTGGTTTACGCGATTTTTCAATTATTTATAGCCAGGACAACCTCTATAGTTGGCAGTATGGTTTCCCCCACAGTTGCTACATTTTTTGGCAGTTGCTTATTTACGGGGCAGGCCTCAGTGAGATGAACATCACCACAGGCAACGCAGACTGCCCGTAGAGTGCAATAGATTTTCGTGTGTCCATATTCCTGGCAATTTGTGCATTGGACCGGTCCATTTCGTTTGTGTGGTTCCTCAACGGTGATCCTACGGTTCAGTAGGTATTGAAGCTTGTATATTGGGTGAACTTCATTTTTACTTATATGCATACTTTCAGGTGTCAGTTCTACTTTGAACATTGGCTGGGGAATTTTATTTCTATTTATTATGTTCATTGCCATTTTGACTTCGAAGCCCTTATCGTTAAGTCCATCTATTATCTCATTGATTGGGACTGTTGGTTCGATTCCTTTGATAACCACTTGTAATCCTTTGCTACTTTTAAGTTGGTAGGTGTAGTAATTCATTTTTTTCATTTTCGAGGTATTTCGCAACTGATCGATAGTTTTGTTCGTCATTGACTTGTATTTTTGTTTCATTTATATTACCCCTTTTTATGTACGTGACATAGAATGTGTTTGCGCCAATTGTATCAGATATTTTTTTGACCAGTTCAGCACAATTTGCCTGTCGAACATGAATAGGTGGCGGTCTTAATTTTTTGGCCTTGGGTGTTTGGGTGATCTCATCTTCATTTGGGGCACTTAGTATCGCAAATCTATTGTTTGTAATGCCCTATGTGGCACAGTGTTCTCGGTTATTTTAGTTATTTTAGCTGCATTGTTGTTCTTCACATTTTGTGGGCTCAATTTTCTTTTGATTTGCACATAGCGATCGATCCCAGTCTGAATTAACGCTCCGTTACCGTTTTTCGAATTTATTGGTTGGGAGAGGTGGGGCTTGTCGCAGTGGGTCGACAGTACCTGGCGCTGAGCAATGGCAGTGGTTGTTATAGTGGTAGATGTCGTTGTTGTTGTCGAAGATAAAGTTTTGAGCGAGGACATTGTACTAGTTGTTGTTGATATTAGCAAATCGTTGGTTAGGCAGTACGAGTCGGGGGATGAGCACAGAGCTCTCCATGACCCACTTTGTATTGCAGGGGAGAGAGGGCGTGCTCTCTCCTTGTTCACTTGCAGTGTTGAAGTTGTTGTTGGTACTGCTGCCTTTGGCAAGCGTATAGAGAAGTACGCGTTGTTTTTTGCTTGCGAGAGCCGACGCTCGTATTATACGTTGACATTTGTTTTTTTCTTTTATTTGTATTATTCTTATTATACGATTGGATTATATTCATGGGCAGCACGAGCACTAGTACCCATGCATACCACGGGCGCTTTTTTGCGAAAAAGCAGCGCCCCTCGGTCGGTTGAGCTGAACGAGGAGCTGCGTTTCTGCTAGGGTTCCGTGCGTAACAGGCTTCGGCTTGGTGTTGCATGGGCCACTTGATGGTGAAATAATATGAAATCAGTCGTCTACAAACTGTTACATCACTGACAGAGCGATACCAAATTTGTTTAACATTTTTAAGGATATTGAAGCTATGGTCTTGCCTTCAACCATCGCCGACCATCCTCCAAAAGATAAGTTTTTTGCATACAAAATCGATTTTCAGTATACTTCTTATAGCAAATTGGGTTCAATACAATAGTGAGAGTGCATACAACTTAGTTTTTAAACCTCCTGCCATTAGTTTTTAGTATAGCTCTTAGGTCCCCTTTTCTGGACCGAGCAACGATTTCTTTTACGCTCCAAAATCTTAATTTTTTCTGTTTTTTAATTTGTTTAAATATTAACACCCAGCACTACTTTTTCTATGAACAGCAAATTTCAAGTGGTAGTTGTCTAAAGTCATGAAAAACAGGAAAAGGGAATTCAAGTGCAACATGATTTCTATTTTGTTTTCTATTGTTTTTAATAAAGCAAGTGTCTAAAAAACAGTCCTGAAGGTGGTGAGGTGTGGAACTACTATTTCCATTACCGTAGCTGTTTATTTTTTGTTCGCAAGAAGCGTCCACCAGATTCGGAATCTACGAAAATTCTAAGAATCTTTCACAAAAAAATTATCCGTCTAAAATTAATTCCTAGCTCCCGCTGTGAAGCATGAAGATTTCAGGTTGAGGTATTTCATAGTATTTTAAGGAATTTAAGGTATTAAAAAAAAAGAAAGACATTTTCCGATTATTTTGGACTCAATTCTGATGCATCTTTTTACAAAAAATTTTATGTTTTTTTTTTTGTTGTAATTAACCAAACATTAACAACTTCTTTCTTTTTAATACAATGATCGATCGGCGGAAGAGATGATCGAATACCACCGTGGCAGAGTGTGTAAGCAAGAGAGAGGGAGAGAATGAGTATGAGTATTTAGAAATACACTTGTAACAGTGTCACCAAAGTCTGGATACGAAATTTGGTTGCTATATCGACTCGACAATTGATGCTGATCAAGAAAGTATATGTTTTATGGAGCCGAAAACGAGTATAAAAATAAAAGTTTTAAAAGAAAACCTATCATTGAAAACTAAAATAAGTTATGCAAAAAATTGTAAGCCCTAAATCGGTTTGTCCGTTTGGTTCATTGAGTAAAAATGGTGTTGCATAGTGTTATTGATAAAAAAAAAACAAGCTAAGTTCATATAGTTATGTCCGTCTATCCGTTCGTTGGTCCGTCCGTCAGTTTATTAGCAATTAACCATTTAAAACTTATTTAATTTCGCCATTCAGTTTATTAGCAATTAACCATTTTAAAATTACACTAGTTAACACGACATTTACGCTGTAACCTAAAATGACTTTTTCTTATAGATTTCGGGGCTTACATTTTTTTAGTTTAGTTTTTTTAAACCTTTTTTCATTTGAATTTGAAAGCTTAATATCTTCCAGACGTTAAGCTGCAGCTACAAAGTGTCTGAGTCGGATTCATAGCAGCACTTGTCAGCTTTCAGTACTGCAAAGTTCTATGCAACCAGATATAAGATACTTAAGTTATGTGAAAAATGAAAGCACTACCTCTGAGAAAAACCATGAAAAAATTAAACCATGATTTTAAAAATTCTTAAAAAAAAAAATTAAACCATAAAAAAAACAAAGTAATACTAAAAGTTTTAAAATCCCGTAATTTATCAGAAAAAGTCATTTTGGTCCACAGCGGAAAGAAAAAGTTAAATTTTGTCGAGTAGTGTTATTTAAGCTATATGGCTTTAGTATATTTTTCTGTACCCAGTAGATATGTACATAGGTCGGAACATCTAGTCATTGTAGCTTTTTTTTAATGTTTTTATTTATTTGTAATACAAATGACAAATGACTGCCAATGACAATCGAAGCACAAACATTTTTACAAATATAATTGTTTGTATCAGCTAGGATCAGGTTGTAGGATTAGAATTTCAACGATGGGTGCGTTACTTATGTATGTACTATTTTAGTGTAAAGTATTCGCGGCCACTTACAGCCGGAGATTCAACGTAATTACAATCGTCAGGTAAGGCTGCTCGCGAGCTGTAGACCGTCGAGAAGAGTGTGTGTGTGGCATATCGTCCATGTGCAGCAACGTGTGGTGTTTACTGTAAGACATCTTGTACTGATCGCCCCTTCGACAGGCAATTGGAGCAGTAGTGGTGTTAAACGACGCGGACGAAAAGAGGGGAACAGAGGAGTCAAGCTAGCCAAGCAGTGATTCTGAGTCCACAAACCCAACTAGGAACTTGTGTACAAAAATAGCGCCGTTACAAATTCTGCAATGGCGCAATGAAAGAAGGTCTAAAAGTTGAAGCCTCAATTGATAAGGTGGTAAGATTCTATTCGAGTCCCAGTTTAAATTACGTAAGGCAAAAATTTAAAATTGTTTTGAACCGATTCGAGAATGGCTTGTTGCTCCTTATACTGTGGACTCCACACAAGAGGACAAGAGCAATATTACAGAACCGGACGAACTAAGGAGACGTGCAGCGTTTTGGTGACATACGGGTCGTCAAACTCTTTGGACAAACGCTTTATAAACGCTAGAACACCCTTAGCTTTATTTACAGTTGCAGCTATATGGTTATTAAAACACAGTATATGATCAAAAAGAACTCCAAGGTCATTTGAACTCGAAATTTGTTGGAGGGCATGATTTTCTAAAGCGTACGAGACAAAGTGTGGAGTGCGACGGTAAAAAGTCATAAGTTTGCATTTAGAAAGGTTCAGAAAGAGGAGATTTGTTGAACACCAAATTTGCAACTCGTTTTGGTTGATTTGAAGGTGTGGGTGTAGGTACCAATCAGAGTAGGAGAGATAGATTTTAACATCGTCAGCGTAGAAGAGTATGTTAGAACTTGAGGAAGGTCACACTCAATAAAATGATCAGAAGTAGACCTAAGTGACTTCCTTGTGGCACTCCTGATGTAACATTAACGATATTCGACAACACATTAGTAAACAAAACACGGTGTGTGCGGTTAGAAAGATCCAGTTTAGAAGATAACTGGGGAAAAAATTAAAGAAAGCTTGTGAATGAGCAGAGAATGGTTCACGGAGTCAAAAGCTTTGCTAAAATCCGTGAAAATTACGTCAGTTTGGAGTAAGTTTTGAAATCCTCGGTTAATTGCAGAAGAGAACTCGAGAAGGTTTGTCGATGTTGATCGATGTTTAAAAAAATCGTGTTGGGATGGAGAAATAAGAGTACTGCAATTACCTGGTGACAAGAAACTCAAGCAGCTTCGGGATGGCGGAAAGCTTTGCAATACCTCGGTAGTTCTCCATGTGTGATCTTGAACTTTTTTGTGAAGCTGATGTAGGATTTGTTCCAAATCACTGGTAGACAAGACCGTTCCAATGTTAGGTTTAAAAGAAAGATCAAGTGTTGGCATAAGTACTGCGCACAGTGTTTTAAAATACAACTTGGTACCTTGTTTGGACCCATCGGGAATGATATGTCAATCGTTGACAAACCTTCTAGAACATCACTCTTCCCAAAGAAAGGTAGAAAAATGCTGTTGGCATGAGGTAAATGGTAGGTATACGGAGTGGATGCGTGGTAGATACGTGACGAGTACTCTGATTGCAAGGACTTACGTCTAGAATTTACGAACGAATAGAATTTTTTTTGGATCACTACGGAAATTTTTACTACATCGGGAAAGGTATTGATTATAAAACAGACTATTAACAGTAAGGAATTGAGAACGAGCGGAGGAATATTGGGTGAAGACAGACATACATCCAGTATTCTAATACTTTTTAAAGAGCACAGTTGTTCTATTCATTAAATAACACAAATTCTTGGAGAACTGAGCTTTTTCAGTAGCGTTGTTTTGCAAGGTTGTTAAAGAGACGATAGCTGTTCAGTTAATATATTCAGGGTTTATTGTAGCTTAGTTTATTATATATGTAGTATCCAAGTACAGCGAAAGGTAATAGATTTGATAGATAGTTCACAATGAGTCGATTGATCGTTGGGGGGTGGTGCGCGGGGTCGGTGGGCGGTTGCTGCGGTGCGAGTGCAACGCGGGGCGGGCGGCCCCCGGCGAGAGAGGCGTGTAAGCAAAGGAAAGAAATAAAGGCGCGTAATGAAGAGGCGAAAGAGAACGGCCGCATAGGCTGGTGCCGTGTGGTAGCATGAATATGTATACATGTATGTAGATGACAAAGTTAAGCAGTGGGCAGAATAAATACAATAATGTTGCATTTTGTCTCTAGTGCTATCCCTCTCTACGCAGCATGGTCTAAGTCTAATGTCATATGGCTATTAACATTACGCATAGTAGGATATCGGCTTCAATCAGGACATCGATTGGTGCGCTCCAAAAAAATGTGAAATCCGCCAACGGAAACGTCTGCAAGTCTCTGAATTACGTAGGCTGCGGCGTTTAAGCCCGACTTAGTCATGTGCTTGGATACGTTGAAATGGCAATCTCTTTAATTTTTTTCAGGGGTAGTGCTTTTTTTTCACATAACTTAAGCATCATACATTTGGTTGTTATGAACTTTGCCATTCTGAAAAGCTAAGAAACATCAATCTTTTAAATGCAAAAATGATTATTTTTGTATGGTATTTTTGTTCAAAATTTTGACTTTAAAAACTCAGGAAAACTCGAAAAAGTCAAGCGGTAAAATGGGATTTTGGTAGGGTTTGTCAACCAATTTTAGCTCTGGCGTTTCTCCATACATTTTAATGAAACGACGCCTGAATAATGCAGCGATACACAAAAAAAATAAGGACACTGTTGAGCTACTGAGCTTCTTCAGTAGCGTTGCTTTGCGAGATTATTTAAGAGACGATGATTGTTCAGTTAATATATTCACAGTTTATTTTACTTAAGTTTATATATATGTAGTATACAAAAATAGCGAAAGGTGTGCGGATTTGATACCGAGAGTTTCCGATTGGTCGATTGAAGACGCGGGGCCGGTTCAAAACTGTTGAGATTGATATATTTATGTTAGTAGCGTTTAGAACCATGTGGCAGGTCACTGTGCCAGACAGTAAAACGTTTAACTACGGTGATGATGGATCTTGAAGTGTCTTCTGCTTTCTCTGACGAACCTCCCCCTCAGCTGCTGACGAACGCCGAGAAAGAGCAAAGCACCAACGAGAGCATAAGCAAAGGCAAACAAAACGGTGATAAAAAGAGAGATAACATTAATTGTTAATTGTTACTTGTTACTTATGCTCAACTGCTCTTTGTGCTGCCATGGGCCGGCGCTTAGCCGAACAGACACAGCAAACGGTAAGCTGAAATCATAAAATATTTGGGACATATTTATAGCTGCTTTTCTTGGCTTTTCAGAATGGCAAAGCTCATTGCAACAAAATGCAAGATACTTATGATATGTGTGAAAATAAAAATAAAAATAAAAAAATAAAATAAATAAAAATAAAATGAAAAATAAATATCCCTAAAAAAAAGTTTACTAAAAATACCAGTTTTCAAACATTAAAAAAAAAGTTCTGCCATAGAAAAAAAAATTTATGACCAATGCCATGATGCAATTATATAAGGTGGTCTCGTCGGCAGCAGCAGGCCCTTAACAATACTTACAAGAAGTGCGAGTGAAAGGGCTCAGCGCAGTAAGTGTGAGTGAAACAACAACAGAGCGTGTGGATTAACCCTCTGATGGTCCATGGGGCTTAAAATAATAAAAGGAGTTGATGTGTTTTTTATAATTTAATTTTTAATAGTTTTGAATTTGAAATTAAGCGTTGTTTTTGTTTTTGAATAGATATTTTTTTGTTGAGACTCTTAATTCTAAAAAAAATTATAATCTTAAAATAAAATAGAGCTCTGGGTCTCTTTCCGGAACAGCATCATCATTCAAGCGCCTTCTTTTAAAGACTTGGACTTTTTTTGGAGCTGACTTCCACTCCGAAGCTTTAAAAAGGCTTTCGCAAATTTTGGAGTTCTCTCCCAGGCTGCAGCCTAGAGATTTCTCCCACAATTCTCTTCTCACAACACATTTTGGTGCCTTTATCAATTTTACACCGAGCACGTGCTTGCGGCAATATGTCATTTTTTTTCAAAAGGGTTAAGGTTTCCGCAAAAATTTGTCTGTACCCAACCTTTCACTACAACAAGCGAGCGCGCACTGAACGTTAAGGTCCTCAAACCCGAACGATTCGGCAGCCGACGAGACCACCTTATATAATTGCCCATCCCGGGGGAACGGTGGGAATTTTTGAAAGATGTGAAACACTGATTCACACTGACAACATCCACCATCCATAAGAAACAGCTGATGCTCACAATTACGTGCGGTGAAAATTTGTTCATATTTATAATTAAAACGAATGTAAATAACATTGCAATGGTTGTGAATGTGATTCAGCAGCAAAACATATTCTTGCACAAGCTTATCATGTTGCTGGACATGATAATGCGGCTAACATTGACGAGGAGAATTTATTGGAGTGGATATCTGTTTTGAAAACACTGTAGCGTGGTCATTTGTGACTGCTTATACTAAATCCAATCAATGTTTTAAATAGAAATATAAATTATATGTGTGTTGAGAAGCGGTTTGGGACATTTTGGGAGAAAGATGTACCCAAAAACAACGAGGCGTTTTTAAAGCTAAGTTATGTACAGCCGTATATTTTGGGCTCTTTGTTTTGAGTAAAGAATAGTCGGAAGGCTGTCAGCCTATAGCGTGTGCAATATCCTTCTTGAGTTTTGCAGAGTATTCATAAATGAGAGGATTCCAGAGGATAGTCCACAAACAGAGTTGTGTATCTGAGACAATTTTGACATATCAGATGTTTTGTTGTTGTTTTTTTTTTACCATTTTCCTGTCTGTCATTGTTTACATTTTCGTAGTGAATTCCGATTTTTTGTTGTGAATGTCAAATATTTATTGTTTCATTTGACAACTATCGAAAAAATACCGCACAGAAACGTGCGAATTAGGAACATCCCAGATGAATGGTGGAGTAACTGGGAAATCTTCAGAACCTTACGGGCCATCCCAGAAATGGATGGTGGATGGTCGTCAGAGTGAAAAGGCTATAAGCATATATTAATTGGTTTGGTTCGAAGCGAAAAAAATGGTGTCGGGTAGTAATACAATTAACAGGGCCTGCGCTTAGCCGAACAGAGTTATTTTAACATAAATGCAATGGCAGTATTGTTTAGAAGTGGTTTGTTTATTCTGTTTGACCACCTTGTAGAACTACAGCTGACAGCAAATGTTTTCGCAATTTGCATAAAAAGTACGCAAATGTTTGAGGTAACGGAAGGTTAACTACCATAGGCTTTTTTTTGAATGCTTAATTTAAAAAAAACAGATTTCTATAAATTTAATTAATATTAAATACCTTACTACGAATTTGGTTTAATAAAATCCGAATCAAACTAAGTGGTAAGCTCGAACGACCGCTGATTGCGTGCGATTTGAAATCAGCGAAAAATCGGTGTGTGGCACCGCGGAATGGGTATATACATATTTTTACATTGATACTGAAATGAATGATAAAATACGAATTGCGTAGTCAACAAAAATAAAGGATACCATTGATGACATTGATACTGGTTTAACGAACCATGGTTCCGTAGTCCACAAAAATAAAGGATACCATTGATGACATTGATATATAATAAATATTAATAAAAATAAAAAATAGAAAAATAATATAAATAATATCCAATAAATGTATTGTGAGGACCTATCTCAGGCATATTTGTAATTCACGAGGACTTTATTGGGAAAACCAGGAACTTTGCCGCCAAGTGAAATAGAACGGTTAGCGAAAACACCGTTTTGGCGTGTTTGTTATTTGCCTGACTGCTATGGCTGATGGACTCCCGATCGACTGCCGATTGACTATGGCTGATGGACTGCCTATCGACTCGAAAGCGAACTGCCGATTTGCGAACTCATTTAATACAGGGAGACTTCAGATATATATAGCGTTTTCCCTTTCTTGATAGGGCCAGTGCTGCTATGTATGGGACATTGCTCCGAGCCGGGTTTCGCATTAATGTGTTGATCGGCACTTTTCCATGATATTGGTTGTATTTTGCTGTGTGGGGTGATCGCATTTCCTTGACGTTCGATGGCCCGTGTGCAGCGCGTGTGCTGAGGTTGGTAGTTATTTTTCTTTAATTTGTCTCTTGCTGTTCCCATTTTCGTGGATTTTGGTGGCGCGAGTGCTGAGTTTTCATTTCGTAGGTTGTTGACCTCGTCATTTGAGAGCTTTAGTTACTTGGTTTTGCTGTGGTGGGTGTTGGTTATATAATCTTGGCCAGCGCCCTTCCGTCGATTTGCCGCGCGTGTGCGGAGTTCTCGCTTTTCTTTGTTTCTTTGGTCGACGTCTTTATATCTTTCGACCTGTGCTGCGTCTTTGAATTCTTTGGTGTTGATATCTTCACCTGGGAGTAGCGTTGGTTGCATCGACTGCTTGTGATGAACCATGCGATTCATGGTTCGTTACAGTATATTCTGAAAACATGTTCATTTCCCTCTTACCATAAAAACTTAAGAAAGAAGAAAAAACGCTAAGTGCCAATGAAATTCCTTTCCCACGGTATAGGCGTACACCCATCGCCTCACCTGGGACATTGGACACTTGTTGGGAGGCGATTGCCTTAGCTAACCCTCGGGTACCGGGCAATCCAATCACACGCGCGAGCCCGCCAGTAGTCTCCGACTCCCCTTACAGAGAATATTGGTCACTGGCTGGAGGGCTGATGATTAGGTAGCCCTCGGTTACCGATCCACCAGTCTGCACGCGCGGACCAATAAGTCATAATTCAGCAATATATGTAATTCCCTTCCCAATTCCCAGTAGCAATGAGATACCGGTTTAAGACATTTGTGGGAAAATCGATGGCCCGACTATCCATAAAAGGCACTGCTTGCATGGAAATAGGGTAGTCCATCCGCCATCACAGCAGTCCATGAGCCATCAGGAACAGATTCGGCGGGCAGTCGGTCAGCG